GGGGGGGATAAAGATGATAGATGTTGGATAGGAAAAAAAAAGAAGGAGGCAAACCTCACCAGAGCACTTGTCAACCACCCACATACTTTGTTATTTTTTAAAAACCAATTTCCCCCTCAGGATTACTAGCTGACAGTATCGGCAGAATGAAGAGAGTAACAAACACCAAAAAACAAACACTCACAAAAAAGGAGGGGAGTAAAGGATGACAGATGTTAAATGGACAAGAAAGAGCAAACCTCACAAGAGGAACCGCCAACCACCCACATACTTTATTTTAAAATACTTAAACTAAATTTACTAACTTTTCCCCACAGGTTTCCTGGGAGACAGTATCGGCCGAAAGAAGACGTTGTTCGGCTCCAACTTCCTGTGCTGCGTGTTCAGCGTAGTCGCCATCTTCTCCGTGAACTGGGAGATGTTTGCCGCGGTCCGCGCCCTGATCGGCGCCACAATAGGCAGTCACCTGGCCGTGGTGTTCCCCTACCCTATGGAGTTTGTCCCCCGCACTCACCGATCTCTCCTCTGCGCTATCCCCACCTGGAACCTGGGCACGGCTGCCTTCGCGATCCTGGTGTGGACGCTCAAGGACTGGCGCTACATCCATGTGGCCACGGCTATCACGATGGGCCTCTGCTCCATCGGATACTTGTGAGAACTACTTGGATCACTCCTTTCTTTTGATGAGAATTCTTAGAAATTTTTTTTTTGATTTTTTGACGTAAAATTTTCTATGGACACTTTCGCGAGCTGATCTGCAGAAATTTTAAACTAATTTCCGCTTGCTTCTCGTTCGGTTACTTCTATGCCTTTTAGAGTTTTTAGAAATAGATTTTGATTTCACTTTGTAAAGTTTATTAAAACTTTCACAAGTTGATTTGCAGTATTTAAAAAAAATAACAACACATTTCTGCTTGCTTCTCTATGCTTTATAGCCTGTATTTTTCGCTTTTAGAACTCTACATAAGAATTGTAACAAAGTTTTGTCTGCTCAGGCAGTACCTAGTTTTGAGAAATTTGACGTAAGAAGTTTGAAATTTTACAACACATCAAGCATTTTTGAAAGCAATTCTTTGACTATCTTTGCAAAGACTCCAAATAATCTTACGATTTTGATAGAGCAGATAGAACAATAAAGATTTGGTGTCTGATCTATTGGTCTTAGTAACTAAAAAACGACCAAAAATGTAAGATAAAACTTGGTAATTCTAAGGTAGGGCTATTTCTTCAATTTCTACTTCTTCTTCTTCTTCTATCCCGTGGTTGGGGCAACCATTGGGGCATCACTGCATCTGAAAAC